AGTGAGTTGGGGGGCAGGTCCCTGGTGACCCCGGGCAGCAGTGAGTTGGGGGGCAGGTCCCATGTCGTACCGCAGCAGCTCCAGGGGGTGACCCCGGGCAGCAGTGAGTTGGGGAGGTGGGCAGGGCAGGAATGGGAGCTGCGGTTCTGGGGGAGGTTCCCGGGACGCCCCGGGCCCGGCACCTGTTCCCGTCCCGCCCCCTGCAGCGCGCCCCGGTGCCCAGCGCGGTGGGTGGGCCCCGCTCTCCCAGCCCGGGGCGCGCATGCCGGGGCGGCGCTGTGCGGGCGGCGCCGGGATTGGCCCGCCCCCGCCCCCGCCCCCGCCCGGCACACGGACTCCTCGCCGCTCCGGCTGCAGCTCCCGCGCCCCCCTCCCGCCCCCGCGCCCGCCCGGACCCCGCTGCGATGAGTCCCCGGCGCTGCTGAAGGATGGTGGCGGCCCGGAGAGCGCCTGTCCCCCGGCTCGGAGCCCTCCTCTTGCCCGGGATCGTCCTCGGAGCCTGCCTGCTGCGGCCCGGCGCCGGCAAACCAGGTGAGAGCCCGGCTGCCCTGCGCCAGGGTGCGGGGTCCGCGGCGCGGCGCGGGGCGAGGCTGCAGGGCACGGGGGGGCGTTGGGCTGATTCAATGGGGAGGCTGCAGGGAGTGGGGCTGGGCGGGTGCATCCTGGTGCAGCAGGATACTGGCTGTGCAGAGGGGCGCTGGCTGTGGTCGCTTTCCCCTTGTGCGCCCTTCGTGCAAGAGAGCCGGGGGGGGGGCGCGAGGCGAGCCCCTGTCTCGCCCCCCGTGGGCGCGGGCTGCCCTCCCCATCCCCATCCCCGGGAAGGACCGGCTGGCCGGTAAACACACATCAGAGCAGTGCTGGCTCAGCCCCTTCCTCCTCCGCTGAGGGCAGGCGATGGGGGTGAGGTGCTTTTCGGCAGGAGACTGCACTGAAGCCCGGCTGGAACAGGGCTATTGTATGAACTCGTCCCTGCGCTCCCCTCTCAGCTGTACTGTCGCACGAGCAACTGCCTTCCCCTGAAGAGCGTCTCAGAGCTGCCTGCTTCTCTTCGGGACAGAAGGGTCCCTCTCAGTGGGATGTCGCGCCCCAGGGGGATTCCCACGCCTGGGAAGGGTGGAATGAGGGCCAGGAACCTAAAGCTCTGTTGTTCCCAGGATCGTATTATTTGTAGCAGTGGGAATGGCTCCCCACGCCAATGGCTCCTGACTAGTAATGCACCAGCGCTGGTCAAAAAATGCCCGAGTCTGGAAAATCTGTGACCCCTTTGCCTATAGGAGGATGGCTGAGAAATGGGATGGTGACCAAGTCTTGGGTTTAGCTTATTTCCTTCCCTAAAATCTTAAAGTACACGGTTAGAAATGATCTAAACCTCAGCGATCTAAATCTGAAAATAAACCTTCCCAAGCCTTGTGTTCAGTCCCTAGCGTAGAGGAGAGGAGATTGTGCTTACACAGCTGGAACGTAGTACGCCAGTGACCCTAGCTGCTTCAGTCTCTGTCTACGTGTGGATCTATTCAGAGAACCAGGAAAGCTCCTGACGAAACAGATGTTTGCATAGCTGTGTGTGACCAGGAAGACATGGCTGTTAATGGACAGCATAAAGAATGTTTAAGTTAATATAAAACACAAGCAGTGTGAATTTTAATATGAATAGTTTAGGGCTTCTGAATGTTTGACCAGTGTTTGTCCAGGAGCCTCCCTGAGAGGACCATCCGGCGTGTTGTTGACACGGCAAAACTCCTTCAGATCTGTAATAAGATTTCAGATGTAACCAGTGACATAATATTGCTAGCCTCCACACGGCTCGCATGGGAACAGGAGGCCAATATTTTCCTCTGCCGGTTAACTAAAAAGTTGTGAATTTACCAGTATAAACTGGTAGGACTTCTTAAAAATCAGGTTAGTTTACACAGGAAAAACTGTGTGCCCATTCCTGAGATAGGAGGCTTTGTGTGTGTAAGGTGTTTGGGGAAGAATTTGGGTTTATACAAAAGTTTTTGTGTTAGTGGTGTCTGTCCTCGCCAGTGCTGCATATGGATCTGTTTCTGACATCCTTAAGTTGACTAGGACCTGACTCTGAGTTGTGGACTAAGGTACTATCCAGCAGGAAGAAGGGTGGCAGAATCTGACCCTTCAGGGATATGTCTACACAGCCCATGGCAGCGAGCCTCCCAGCCTGGGTCTATGGACTCAGGTTAACGGGGCTTGTGCTAGCGCTCTACAAATAGCTCTGTAGACTGCGCTTTGGAGTTGTGGCTCAGGCTGGAACTCGGGCTCTTGAAGCCTACGGAGAGGGACAAGCCGCAACTTTAAAGCTCTGTCTACGCAGCTATTTGTAGAGCGCAAGCCCAAGTCCATCAGCCTGGGCTGGGAGGCTCGCTGCTGTGGCGGTGTAGATGTACACTTCGGGGATGTCTACACTGCAGTTAGACACCTGTGGCTGGCCAGTGCCAGCTGACTCGGGCTCGTAGGGCTCAGGCCGTAGGGCTGTTGAATTGCAATGTAGATGTTCCAGCTCAGGCTGCTTTCTTCCTTTCCCACCGTTTTCTTATTGCGCAGAGGCCAGGACAGTGCCTCATGGTGCGCTGGTCATTATGAAGTGGGCTAATGTAGCAATGGAATGGCTAGCGACTTTCCCTATGGGTTTGATCCTATATATTTATCCTCACATGCTGGACCTTACTCCTTCCTGGAATCCCAATGACCTAAATGGGATTCCTCAATGGAGGAAGTGTCCATGCATGCAGGATCAGACCCTGCAGCCCTCCAGCTAACCTTTGAATGCGTAGAAGGTGACTTATGCAGAGGGAGAATAAATACATAGTAATCATGTCGAAGTTATGTCTCACAGGCTTTGTAAGCCATGCCTTTGATAATTGAATAAAAAGCCGAGTTCTCTGTTAGTAATGTGTTCAGGTAGGCAGGAGTCACTGGCAATTAGTGCTATTGGCTGTAAATCTTTACACTTGGGTGGTTCTGTTTGCTGAAATATTATAAGATGCTTGTACCCATGGGTCTATTTTCAGACTAGTGGGAGAGTATTCATCCCGCACTGGGGCAGGTCCTTGAGCTGGGAGGAGCCTGACAGCATAGCCTGTAACGTAGCTTTGTTTAAAGCTGTGCCAGCCCAAGCACAAAAATTGCTCATCCACTCTGTGTTATGACGACTGATCATGAACAAAATATGTACTCAAAAAAAAAAATTACTCCCTGAAATTACTCACCTTGAGAGAGTAGAATTGTCAGCGACAACGATTAAAAGAGGTTTCCCCCGTTTTCCTCTTAAAGAAATGAAGTGGACTTTTTGCCCAAGATCGTAACCTCTGCTGTTGTCTTTCAGCAGTGGCAAGTTCGGTGAAGGAGCTTGTATTGTAGGATCTGAAGTTCGTGTGTGTGCTGTGTTCATTTGCAAAAAGCCCAGTGGCTGATTTCTAGGCTGTGGCACAGTGCATAGGAATAGAATAAAAAATAGATAGGTAGTTGCAGAGCCTTGGCTCTGAATTTCAGAGTGTTTTAATGCACATACAGCAGCCCTGTGAGAGCTACTTCAGTTCCAAGAGTGAATGTATTTTGTCTGTGGAAGTGCTGATTTCTGTGGCTTCAGTAGGTTGCTCGTCGGTCACATGCCAAACCTGTACACGGTGTTTGTAATTTCTGGCTAATATTGAGGACGGAAAGTCAACACAAAGGCAGTGCCCTGGGTTTATGAGACACAGAATTTTTACAGTGGAATCAGGGCTGGCGTTCAAGGGTAGCAAGCAGAGCAATTGCCCGGGGCCTCATGCAGAGGCAATGCGTGTGGGGGGACATGCGGGGTCACGTGCGTCTCCCCCCCCCCCCCGCCCCTGGAGATTTGCTGCTTGGCTTGTACTGAGCACGCTCACACGGGTTGAGATGCTCAATTATACTGCTGAAGCCAGATGCCCTCACTCTGCCCACTGTTGGCAGGCACGGGTCATCTCTGGCCCCATGCCACAGGGGCCCTGCAAAGCTAAGTTATGCGTGGCGGGGCTCGGGCTTTGGCTTCAGCGGGGTGGGGGCCCGCTCCTTAGTTACTGCCCTGGGCCCCAGCGAGTCTAACGCCGGCCCGGAGTGGAATGTAAGCAGTTTGTCTCATTATCAGTAGAAAGTACATAAAAAGCTTTCTTCTTATCCAGGGAGTGCCCACTGACATTTCACAGGGCCAGTGCGTTCCTGTAGGATCTTCAATACTGTGTCTTAAGCGACCCATAATTGTCCTGTCTAGTCGTTCTGTGCTAGAGGGATGGGCACTATCCTGCAGAGACACACGGGGAAGCAGCGGTGACATAGTTAAGTGTGGGTGGATGGATGGTTGGTAAAGGAGAGAATAAGATAGAGTGGGTCTTCAGATTTTCATCATGTTCAGGGATGATCCTTCTCAGCTGAGTTTGGAAAACTCAGAGGCCCCGATTTTTAAAGGTATTTAGGTGTTGCTGTACACAGCTTGCAATGCCTAACTGATTGAGGAACCTGTCTCATTTTCAAAAGTGACTTAGGCTCCTAAGTGCCTAAATCCCATCAACTATCAATGGAATTTTGGCTTTTACGTGCATCCATCCCTTAAAAAATATGATATTTAGCCTCCTAAATCAGTTAGGTGTTGCAACACTGAATGCAGCAGTGCCTAAATACTTTTAAAAATCTAGCCCTAACTCTCCCAGCCAAAGGATGATATGAAGAATGCTGGAGGATACATCATCTCCAGTGTCTTGGCTGCTATCCAGCGCTTTCTCCCAGTAGCAGATGTAATTCCAGTCTGTTTCTCCGTAGCCCTCAGGTTTTGGAATAGCAGTATTGAAATTGGCCAGTGTTTGGGGGGAGAGGGAAGTGTCTGCTCAGGTGCTCTCTAAGTTAAGATGTAGTGTTTTCAAAAAAACCTCATGAATAGATTATCAATGGAAAGTAAAATTCAGAGGGTTAGTGTGCAGCCTGATCAGAGCAGCAGCAGAAAATGAGGATTAAACAGAAACCTGTTTCTCCGAAACTGCCTGCTGAGGCCTGGTTATTTTGCCAATTACTGAGCTTCTGCTGAACAACAAACATTGAACTTCTTTCTAATAGCGCACAGCATGTGTGGAGGGACTTGTCTTCCAAATGACAAAGGAACACAGTACTCCGGTATCCTTCACTTTCCTTGGAGACTGTTCTTTAGGGATTTGATTAGCACAGACCACGAACAAATGCAAGTGTCCTAGGGTTGATTAATTTCAGGAACTTCTGCATAAGTTTCCCCTCCCCCCCAGGTGATTTAAAACAATGTAACTTCTAAACTACCACTGGGAGCAGCACTCTGAATCTGACATTTCATTCTTGGGCGGGTTTCAGGTAACAGGTGCCTCCCATGTTTGCTTTAGGGCATGGCTGGCTGGCTGCCTGTAGTATCCAGATTAGTTCTGTAATAGGTATAACATGTAAATGTGCATGGGATGGGGGATGCAGTCAGAACTAAATGGGAACTGAATCCTGCTGCTATGGGGAAATCATGCCTGTTTTGGGACAGAGAGTGGTTG